AATCAATGGAATCCCGTTATCAGAGAATGAATTCATCAAATATTTCGACGACGTATATAATCGTCTCACTTCGGCAGTCATGGTACTGGATATATCTTATTTCCAGAATCAGCTGTATGTATGGAGTTATCGGCCCTTTCCCCTGAGGGGTGCCAAAATTGTCTAAAACTCTTCTTAGGCGTAATCGTCCGGATTCCCTGCTAGCCTCCGAAAACCAGATTCCGCACTAGCCCGCATGGTGCTCGTTGATTTTTTCCATCTTATTTGCCTCCTTATGTCCTTTCTGGCTGGTTTGAAACTAATTTTTAGTAACTCTCATAGTTTTATTTTTATTGAACTCTGTAGCAGCCTGTGTTCTCTTTCTGGCTTTTTTGTTAAATTTTATAACCTTTTTGTTAAATTTTAGGCCATTTTAATAAAAATTCAAGGATATCATGACAAAATTTCGCATCATTCTGGACCAATTTAATGTTCGTTAAATCATACTTTTTCCACTTTTCCTCACGAAAATGATTTTGGCCTTTTAGTTCTATGCCAAAAAAGGGGTGGCTGCTTTCTCACTCCCTCATAATTATGTGATTGTTGCCTAGTTCGATACTTTGATCAACTGCAGCTCGTAGCTTTGTTGTCCACTTATGCTGCTGGCTGCTTTTTCAGTAGTTTTGATAATTACCACAGTCGTCGTACTGACGAGATCCAGTTGCGGTAATGATAAGAAATGTATAGGACTTAATGGACCGAAACAGTTCTTACTATTATAATAACCTTAGTGAATAATTTTACTATTTTTACTAATTCCTCAATATCATTTTCTCTTTTATTTTTTCTACTTCAAAATACGTTTCTATTGGCCATTACTGCATTACCTGATGGAGAGCGTGCTAACAATACTGACATTCGTTCCGCTTTCTCAAGTTTGAGTTATTTTTGACAGTGACATGTTTTATAAATCAGAATTGAACCTAAGACTATATGTTTTATCTCAGCACTTTCTTTGTTTCAGCAGTGCGGGGATGCGTTTAAGATGCCAGCTTATTTCAAATTCTTAACAGTAATGGCATTCTATGTTTTTCTGCAAGAAAAAGTCGATGTTGCAATAATGGAAGTTGGCATTGGTGGTGAGCACGACTGCACTAATATTGTTGAGTAAGTTGCAAAATTTATTTTTATCTGTTACTTTTAAAAATTTCTTACTATTTCTCGACAAATTTTATTAATTGTTAGGTAAATTTTATTAACTTTTTAGCTTACTAATTTTCTAAACTTTATTAACTTTTTCTTTCACTTTTTGTTGAATAATTTATACTACCAAAAATATCAAGGCCACTCAGACAGTCGATGTGAGTTTCCTATGTTAATGATATTACTGGCACTCTGCCACATTCAAGTACTGCTATATCATACCCTGTTTTTCTCAGTTTTCCAAGTTTTAGCAAATTTTGTATTCCATTTTTTTAGTTTAATCTTTTTATTTTTTAAAATTTTCCAACAAGACAACCACAAAGTGGCATACATTTGTGTGATGTGAAAGAGGAAAATTCTTCAGGAATCCAATTCTTTGTGCAGTGACAACTTTGGATTACGACCATATGGCGATGCTTGGCTCAACGATCAAAGAGATTGCCTGGCAAAAAGGAGGTATCTTCAAGAAACACAGTACGGCGATTGTTGCCGAGCAAGAAGAGGAAGCAATGGAAGTTTTAAGAAATCGTGCAGACGAGAGGAATGTAATTTTTATTTCGAATTCTACTGCCGCAAACTCTTGTTTTCGGGTGGGAGTATTGGCCTTGGCCTGGGCAATTGTTTGGGCTCCAAAAGTCAAAAGTAAAAATCCCTTTAGTTCTCGCTGTTTATGAAATATGAGCACTAGAAACGGCCTGAATGGTAGCAAGTCCAAGCTGATAGGACTTTGGACGGTTTTACGAGGGCTGCCTAGAAGCAAGCTATTCTCCTTTTTTTACTTCAGACTCGCTTGGATTATCATCATTTAGTCCCAGATATTACTGAGCTGTAAGCAAACACTTGATATTGCTAAAATTCAAACAAATTACGCCGTTTTGTCTTGGATCCAGGGCCTTCTTCGGTAGGTGCCGATAATTTTTCACTTGCAAGAAACATTTGTTAAAATTTTTGCCGTTGCTAAAAATACTTGTTGTACACGTTGAGTATCACCATCTCGTCTCGAAAGTTGCTACTCATAGACCTCAGTCCAGGCATATTACGACTTGGAGCCAACAAAGTCTTATTCATTAAAAAAAAATGTCCTGGAAATAGTTACGCCTTTTATATATCATATTGCCACAGGTAATGCCACTGGACATATTGTGGTACCATAAAGACCGATATTGTTACGCCCAGCATTTAGCTATACATGAGCAGCATTAATCTTTATTCAGAATACTGACAGCTTTCACAGGTCTAACAAATAAGCCATGGTGACATTTGCAGTAGTGGTTATTTTGCAGTGCTTATTTCGCCTAGCACCACCATTCAGTGCATACGACTGGCCAACGAACAACAACATTGAGATTGGTATCGGTGGCGTCCACCAACAGCATAACGTAACTGTTGCACTACAATTAGCCAAATTATGGCTTGAAAAAACTAACAGACAAGGTAAGTTGAACTGATTCTTAGTATCTTGATATTTTGAAGCCAAGGCTCGGGAATGTTGTATTTTTTATTTTCTTCTGATCTATGTTTATACTGTTTTTTTCGGTGTTTGAGTATGTGTTTCTTTCACTTCACTTTTACTCATTTATGTTTATTTATTAAACATAAGCCTAAGCAACAAAAACTTCACACGGTCGGCGGATCTTAGTAATCTTGTTGTTTTATTTCGTGAGTGATCCGATGTGATAAAGCATGTTTAACCGCGCGCAATTAGCTTCCGGAATTCCAGATCGATACGACAGGTGACCATGATAATTGTGGTGACTTCAAAAAAAAGCATTTTCAAATTATTGTATCTCATTGACACAAATGCTTCATACCGGCTATCCAGACGGCTTTAATAGTTTCGGTGATCAGTCAGTAAATGCCACTTTTCAAAAGAATCTATAATTCAGAAATTTTTAAATGTTTTCTATCAATGGGAGATAAGTTTGGTGACTGTATAACACCCATAGTTGCACATATCATACACCAACAAAAAAATCTAGTTGTATGGAAGCACTGACTTTCGCGGGGAATCCACGAAAAACCGACCAAGAAGCCGCCACAAAGAAAAAAGGAAGAAATATTGCCCTGCAAGGCCGATACACAGTAGACGTGCTGCCAGGCTGAAACTGAAGCGCAAGGGCTGGTGGTGTGGTGGTAACACATTG